CACCATGCATCAACCTTTGTGTGTTTAGGTCAGTGGCTATGTCAGTGTCTAACGTCAACGCATCCTGGGACTTCCACTGCAGCTGGAGGCCTGAAGTTGTCCACCGAAGTAGAAAGTGTTGTAAATCTTGCAGATGAACATTTCTGAGAACGTGTAGATAGGGACAGATGTACTAGGCTCAACAAACAGGTTGTAATCTAAACAGGCAATCTATGCACAATGATCTTGTCATGTATTACCTTTTTATATTAGCATAACCGCAATTCATCTGACTGAATGCAGCCTTGTCTAACATGCCTGTTGTACATTCTAGGTCATGGCTGTTTCTGCTTCTCGTTGGACACCTGCACATCTCAATGCAGGGAGAAATACGTGTTAACGTGCAAAATCGCACAAAAGCTGCAAACTCCTAAGTGTGAACCTAGCCTTATTGCTGCTACCAGGCCCAACCCTACAGATGAGAAAACATTTACATTTATTCTTTTGACCAATGCAATATTTGAGTAACTAGGCAAAACAGATACAGCACTGTATCTTTACATTCCCTACCCTGCACAAAAGACAATCTGTATACCGCACAGAGAGTATCCATTTTGCCAATTACAAATAACAATAGTGGGAATGATATCTATGCTGATATGTGAAAGAAAGGGAAAATAATACAAAAAAAACTTCCTGTTGCATTTCTCATTCTTGTAAAATTGGCACATTTCCATTGAATGTATTACAATTATTATTTGATTTTGCTCCTAGCCAGGGTTAGGGCAACTATTATGCTCTGACACACATATACATACAAACATACATACATATTTTAGCCATAAATCTGTAATCATCCCCAGGCAGGGTCATCATCACCCCCCTCATGGATCACAAGGCTGCTCCTGTCGCTCCCCATCACCTGGAGAAGGAGTTGGGTATTAGATGCACACCTATTCCCTAACCTGTTTTGTATGTATAATAATATGTTACTGTCATTCTCAAAACATTAATTTTGAACTGCAAATGTGGATTAGACAACTAATACAGTACTTTGTGTGTTTATATAAATTAGATTCGGCACAGTTGGCTCTGAAGAAGCAGACTAAATCCACCAAACGCATCACCTTTATTCTACCCTGCGTAGGACATCGACTACATTTATTGCGACTCTCACACACTTTGATATTGAGGGGGATTTTTTTCCCCCTTATCACTTGACTATTGTGGATTAATCATAAATACTGTGCTAAAGTTTGTGTCTGGTTTAGGGAAATATTTTATGAATGTTTTTAAACATATTGATCCAAACTAGAGCAGACAAAATCTGGAGCAGCCGTGCATGGCAACCACTCTTTCATTTTCAAATCATAAGTGAAAAAACTCATGAGAGAAGCTGATTTGTTGCTATGCACAGCTGCTCCAGATTTTGTCTGCTCCAGTTTTGATAAATTGTGTAATTGATATATTTTGATAAAATTTGTAATTTTGATATGATGTCTGTGGCATGACAAATAGCACAGCTTTAACGTCCAATCAGTTTAAGTCTGTTATAAAGGCTTTCATTTTGGTTCAATCTAAAAGACTGATATATGTCATTTGGCCGCAAACACTTTTCCATTTAAACTTAACAGAGGTTTCACATAATGTTTATAGATACAGTTAACTATTTCAGGCAAATCTTTGGAAATTCTGAACAACTGCTGAATGGTTTCGGATACAAATCAACTATTTTGCTTTCTCGAGAATGGATGTGATGAAGAATACGATTGAACATTATTAGGATAATTACATATGTGGTCAGTTAGCCTAGTGTTTAATTGTGTGATAGCAATCTAAACTATAGCTTGGTTTCCCAGCATGAAATACACTAACTACAATAGATCTCAATCAGACTAATCAGTGGCAAACATCTTTAATGTGCATAGTAAGTACAAAGGTTAATTCTCTGTAAGTGTCAAACGTAAAGGGGAGTAGTGGACTGGACTATTATATTCCCAGTAATCTGCTTTATTTATATAGTTACTAAGATTAAAGCCTGTGCCCCCTGTTGTGCACTGCGGTTTCTTTCTCTAACCCCTATGTTCTAAAGGACACAGCAGTAATGTAAGGCTCAGGGGATGCAACCACAGCTCGCAGCAGGGGAAACAGGCATCTGGATGTTTTGAATACTGAAGTCTTACAGAGACTGCAATGTTGGAACAGAGGGAAGGTAGGAGACAGAGTCCACTGGAGAAGTGGCTACAACACCTCTTCTATTGAAAGAGAGTGCCATTTAAATGTTTTCAGACTGAAAGGATCACACTGAAAAAAATCAACTTCTAAGCCATCTGTGTCTAACACAAAAGAAATCCATGGATTTCACCAATACCAATTGTTTAACTTCAGCACAGTAGGCCTCTTAGCAGAGACAACATCCTAATACCCTTCATTAACCCGCATTACCCATATCTTTCAAATAAGAACAAACACACCTTTAGAAATGTTTAGTAATGACAATCTACAAACACATTCTTCTAGATAATTGTTGGCTTTATATTCTTTACATACCTTATTTCTCTTTTCTTTCCCAGTCTTCTGGCAGCGGCCATGTTAACTATGGGCAGATTACTAGTTCTCCATTTATTTCCTTGAACTCTGGCACATGTGACTAGACATGGGACTAGGACATGTGACCATGCACATCATCTCAGTGGAGGAAAATGCCTTTCCCTGAGATCTCATAAGATTAGAGATGAGATTTCCCAGCAATGCTATGCTTATGTAACCTTCCCAAGATGCTTTGGTACTTACATCATTTGTGCCAGAACTGTACCACGAAGTAGATGAACTGTATGTGTAAGTAAATGAAAAACAAGTTTTTTTTAACCTATTTAATGTCAGGTGATTTTAAATCAGCATGCAGATGTGATTTTTGGTAACGGGGGTAAAGGTTCACTTTAACTATCATATATTGAGACCCTTACTCCTGGGTTGGCAACAAATACAGGTGACTTCATTCATACTTGTATCTCACTTTTACTCAGAAATATAGTATAGGGCAACCATTTTCTCTTGTAAACATACATTAGAACTAGGGATGCACCGATACCAATACAAGCATCGGTATCGGCCGCGATACCGAGTATATAGTAACCCATATGTAAAACTAGTGACTTGCATCAACAGCTTGATCTTCCTTAACACACCAGATTCTACAACTATATTTCAGTTTGGAAGGATATGTTTTTCAAAAAAATTGATTAATTTCAGAATTACAAGGCATTAAATGTGTAAGTAAAATACTCTGTAAATGCATTGTTTGATCACTCCTAGTTGCTTACTGAACAGTGTAAGTTTAATACTGTAGCTTTTCATTTTCTCTATAGAGGTTGATGCTTTACAGTTACAGCTCTGTCTCCAGCTTGGATTCTAAATCCAATTCTTAGGTGGTATGTAGGGCTTCTCGTTGTTAAAATAATTTAGAATTTATTGTACATTTTACCTGTACAGTGTAGTATAATTTGTAGTTTTCTCTGACATATCCTTGGACATTTCTTTCAACTCCCTCTTCATGCACTTTGCATATGTCCCACAAGGAGTATACATTTTCTCCAAGATAGATTAAGTAATGTATGCAGAATGATTGCAAGTTCCCCTTGGAACCTAAAAGCTTTCCTACCTGCATAAAAACCTCAATAGCCAGATTACAGACTGCCAATAAGTTCCAGATGTGGTTATGTGTATACAAATGTGTACAAGAGAGTATCTTGTGTGCAGAATTTTTGCATATATATATAGGTCTATATCTATATAGATCTATATAGCTATAGATCTATGTAATCTGATCTACTCATATAAAAAGTATATCTTTCAAACCAAGCAGAATGAAGGAAGAAATATTTTAAGTAGAGGTGCACCGAAATAAAAATGTTGAAACTGAAACCAAAAATAAAAAAAAATGTTAGGCCAAAACCGAAAAAAAAAAATTCTAACCTGTTTTATTTTTAAAACATATTTTATTATTATGTTTTTGTTCTAAACTTTTGTTCTATTTTATTGTTATTTACTTTTTTTTTTTATTAAATATGTTTATTTTGTAACTTTACTGCTGGGGGCTCTGGGAAATATTAGGGGTCTATACAAACCCCTGAAGTCCTAAATCTCTTATTCTGCAGCCCCTGTTATGAATGAACAGGAAGTCTCTGTACTCAGTGTTCCTGTTCATTCATAACTTGTGGCGATAGTATGTTTACTATGTCAACAATCATGAATGAACTGGATGTGATGTAGAGCACTTCCTATATCACTGATCGCTGACTGCTTGTACCCGCTCTCTATCCTGAGCAGTGGTGTGAGGAGGAGAGCTCGACCTATTTTGACAGCTGACTCCTCCCCTGCACCACCACCTTGGCCTCCTGTGACAACTGACAGCTGTCTCCTCCACCACACCGCTCTCCATCCTGATATGTCACAGGAAGGAAAAGCTCTCTTCTCTCACTGCCCCACTCAGCCTCCTGTGACAACAACAATGATACCACTCTCCTCCCCACCCCGCTTGGCCTTCTGATAGTTTGTCTCCTTTCCGCTGGACGCTGCACTGAGGAGAGAACAGACACACAGCAGGGAGGAGAGAAACTAGGTGCAATTTCGGCCGAAAGATGGTACTTTCAGGATTTTGCCCAAACTGCCATTTTCGGCTGATATGTTTCGGCGGACGAGATTTCGGTGCATCACTAATTTTAAGGTCAGTATCTTTTAGCAAAAAATGTATTCAACTTTAGTTTGTTGGAGCACATTAATCAGTATAATTAACAAAACAGTGACTAATACAAAACATAAAGCTTTTTTAAACAGTGGAAGGAGCTAAGTGTTGAGTATAAAGTACAGCAGCTCAAAACAACCAATCAGAATTTACTTTAGTGAAGTCAGAATAGATGTTGCTATGGGTACTGCACTCTGCACCTACAAATGATTCTGAAGATTAGTAATTACTAACAAAGATATATAAAATGGTAAAGTATCCAAACTGTTAAGCTAACCTGGAACTGATATTTTGCCTGCAGTAGGATGATCCATTTCAAGAATAAGGCCATTATGTGCAACCTGTAAACAAATAGAAAAAAAATCATGAACATTTTAATGTACACAAATATTTATTATATACAGGCTTAGAGTAGGGATAAACAACTCTATACCACCCAGCTTATATAAAGAGCAGGCCAGAAAGTGCTTTCAGGGGGCATAAGCAATGCTGCATGTTGAAAGAATACGTTATCACACAGAGAAAGGGTCCGTCCTTCTATTTTCTTCTTGAGAATAGGGGAAAAAAAGACTTAAACAAGTAGGCACTGTTGATTGAGTCACATGGTGACAACTTCAGGGACTTCTAATGACAGACAAATATCTCCCTACGTGCTGTTCTGAGGGAGACATTTGCCCATCTATAGCCAACATAACGTATTATACAAAGAGCAAAATATAGTAACCCACAGCAACCAATTAGAATTCATATTTCAGTTGTATGATAGTAGAAAAAAGGATCTGATTGGATGCAGTGAGTAAATACAGTTTTAAACTTCAACTTTATTCTTAGTCTTTGCATCAAAAGACACCTAAGTGAGAAAAAGAGTATATTTGGTCTAAATAGAACAGGATGAAGGGGTTATCACTGATATTACAGAAAGCCTAGGAATAAGTCTATTAAAAGAAAAACTTACTGAGAAATAATAGGAAGAGAAACCGCGAGGCAACCATTATCTCTCCCTCTGAAAATGCAAATTCCATGTTGTGATGCTGTTATGACTCCCAGAACAGTATCTCAAAGTACTGAGGAACTGTTTATGGCTCCCAGGACAGAACTGTTATGACTCCCAGGACAGTATCTCAAAGTACCGAGGAACTGTTTAGTGGTCTTTCACTGTATTTTTTTCTTAATGTATTATATATTATTATTAATATATTGTGTAAATATTTACAAAATTAATTTTGATAAAATAGTTTTTGGCCAGGTAAATATGAATAAGTGCATAGTAATAATATTATGCAGTCTTCTATCCTCACATCAGGAGCATAAATACTTTTTCAGCTGTGCTGAAATAAGCCTCTAGTGTACTGAACTGAAGGGGTTATCAGAGTAATAACTCCTCCCTTTTGCCTGATTAAAACATCCCTTATGGCTGAATATAAGAGGCTTATTTCAGACAAAGAAAGTTGCAAAGCAAGGTATTTCTTTTTCTCTATTGATACCCAAGGTGCTCTGGGAACCCATATATTGAAAAAGTGTATAAACAATTTAAAAAATACCAAATGTATAAGCCTTAAAAAAAAGAACTAAAATTACCCTAAATAAAAATAATTTGGCAGGTAAAACAGTCCATACAATGGGCATCACTAGACCCTAGCAGTGGCAGCACATGCCTGAATCTCCTTCCTAGTGCCCCTGGCCAAGACCAATGAAAGCACAATTTACTCTGTCACAGTGACTTGCTCTGTTGTATTCAAGCAGTACCAGGCAGAGAGATATCCAGCCTGATGCTACCAGCATACTTCTGACCCAACACTACTCTTCAAAGGTCTGGGGTTTGGGTTGGGAGCTATTCTCTGCAGCATCTCTAAGGTAACTAAAACTCAATGGCCCCACTGACCACCAAAAAAATGGGCAATGACCACTGACCATCATTGTAAGAGGACACAACAGCTACAATTCTGAGGCGGCACACTGACCACTGAAAACCAGTGTAACAAGGCATACAAATACCGCTGATCACCAACATTTATATGAGCACTCATCGTTAAACACCAAAATAAGGGGGCATTTGCTCTTGGGCCTACACTTTGGCTGTTAAACTATAGGTGCTATGTTGTACTACAGTCTTGATTGCTGCATTCTATACATTATGTTGTATATTACATAGTTCGGACGTCTACACTCCATACACTGTGCTGTACATTATACTGCATTCTGAGTGTTTTGTTGTATGTTATGCTAACTGCTGTATTCTGTTTGCTATGTACCCTTCTCCTAAAAATACATGCAATTGGTCCAGAACCAATTGCAGCTCTTTTTAGGAATAATATCCCCCTGAGGAAGCCTGTCTCAAGGCTAAACATGTTGGGGTATCCAGAGGAATACTGCATCTGCTCAATCCAACATGAGTAATCAAGACCACTGTAATGTACTGTGCTACTACTGCATCATGGTTATTTACTGACTAGTTTCTCAATCATGTCAATGCAATTTGTGCTTTATACATAAGGTTATATATGTAAAACACCACCATAATTCTACTGTACACTGTCTTATAAATATTGTTTTGTGCAATATTTGTAAATATGTAACCCAACCAATAAATATAAATTGCTGATTGAACTACTCCTATTGTCCAAGCATCCTCAGATCTACTCTTATAGTAATTGGAATACTGTATATTTACATATCCACTAAACCAAGCCATCACTGCACGTGGTATGTGCTTGTGGTAGAGGACACTAAGACTAATAGGACTATTTTCAAAGCAATGTCATAAAAACAGGATTACCAATACAAAAACATAAACATACATACTCTCTTATTGTATGAATATTTTATTTAAATGGTTAATGCTTCAGTTTTTTTTAGCACTAAGATTGTTTCTGATTGGAACATATACTGTACTTGACCTTATTTTGACAGAATAATTGTATTAACAAAACATGGTTAAAGCTTAAGATCATGGGTTGAACTGTTGAGCTCAGTCAGGGTACAATTTGGGTTTAGCAGAGGTGAATATTGTTTACCCCTTTGTAATTAATAATATTTTCAAACCAAAAACACACATTCCAAAGATGAGGGAGTTGCTATGCTAAAATAAAAATGACAGTGCTATGTTCCAAAATCAATAGCCAGACATAGCAGAGAATACATAAGCAGCTTGACTGGGCACTGGTCAGCAATGTAAGAGGTAGAGATTAGTCATTTTGTTTTCAAAAATTCTAATTATCACATCCGCTATGTAAGCTGTTTTACTTGTCCACTATGTTAGAGGGCAAGATGAGGCAGTTTTTATTGTGAAAAATCACAGGTTATTATATCAGAATCAAAGGCCAGAAACATTGCACTGACATGCTACAATAGGACTAGAGAATAAGCAGATGTTATCATGAAATAAACATTAAAGTATATTATTCACAAGAACCAAAAATACTGTTCATAGTCAATGTACTATGTAAGCAGCCTTTGTTGGCCCAAATTTAAGAGGGAGAGACTAGGCATGTTTTAGCATGAAATAAAAGTTAGAGTGTACTTTTTCAGTGCCAAAAGCCAGAAAAATTGTACATACAGTATTTGATGTACAGAATGGTATCTTTTTTTGCTAGGATGTGATTTCAGGGGGAACGAGCAGGCAGTTATTTCATCATGAAATAAAACAAATACCGTTTCTCATACAGAAATACAGTACATATTTTATTCACAGTTTTAAAATCTTTTTGATAGGTCTCCATTTCAGAGGAAGAGACCAGGTAGTTTATAATGAAGGAATAACTGTTTACTCCAATTCAGACAGACTATACCCACAAATATGCTTGAATTAGGCACTGCACTGAAATAGATCCAAAAAAGAAGACAAACAGCATGATTTAACCTGCAACAAACCCACTGCGTAGCAGCATGTAAAAACATTAGCAGCATGTAAAACTGAAGCACCAAAATGCAACACAAACATTATTGAGAAATGCAGGATTGTCCCAGCAGAAATAAATTAAAATGTTTCCAACTGATAAACACCTGGGGAAACATTTGGTGCTGGATAGTTTTGCTGATGACCATACTCCAACACAAATATTGATGCAACTGAGAAACAGCTGAAGAAACATTCTTTGTGGCATAAGTTCTGTAACACCGCACTACAGATCTAGAGGCAGATTTAGATGGTAGTAGCAATAGAATAAGCTGTTAATGGTGGCAGGAGATGGTAATGGTGGCAGGAGGTGGTATTTGTTAGAGGCCTGCAACAGTGGAAGGAGATGCTTAACTGAACAGTAGACATGTGCACAGCATAAAAATTAGTTTCGGACAAAACAAAGGAATAACCGTTTCATTCTTTTAGTTTGAAATGAATAATTATGTTGTTTGGGATTCGGAGGCAAAGTACCTCCGAATCCGAAAGCGCACATTTAAAAAAAAAAACTATGTTCTGATGTCATGCACCCCACCTGCCATATTGGAGGTGGGGTGCATGACATCACCCGACAGCAAGATGGCGGTGCCCATACAAAACAAAATATCATATGCCCGAATATAATTTTTCATATATTTGGTCATATAATAACTTGTTATTTTGGATTCGGCCGAACTGCCGAATCAATGGAATCTCGTGATTCAGCAAGTTTGTCTGAATCAGAATGCACATGTCTACTGAACACTATCATAATTTTTGGGGGGCCTGATCCAAACTATAAATGTAATTATTAGCATCAGTAGCAGGGGATAATCATCACTGATCCAAGACAGGGATTAAAAAAAAAAAAAACTGTGAGCCAGTTTACTGTGTCTGGGTACAGGCAGACTTTTCATTCTGTCACAACATCCCGAAACACACTAAATGCACGGTCTGAAAGCACAGTGAATGCAGGGCAGCCCAGCTGCTTGGCTGCATACTTGGCAAGCTCTGGCAAGTTGTCCATCCACATTATCCAATAGTTAAGGGGGTAGTCCATTCTCAGGCTGTCAACATCCACCCTTGTATGAAATTAATGGTAAAAGCCGCGCTGTATGAATGGGACCACAAAAATGTCAGATATAGTAGATACTGACCTTGGAGTAATGTGATACAATGTGTAAAAAGTGCAAAACAAAGAAGAAACGCATGTATATAACATGCACATTAGTGTAAATGTAATTGCTACAAAATATCCATAATGAAAAATCAAATGCACTAAATATTAACTGTGAATCAATGTGATGCAATGTGCAAAGAATACCAACTAGAAAAATGCATGTGTGTAACTTGCACTACAGTGAAAATAATAAATGGTTAAAAAAATGTCCATGATCCTGGATCTTCAATAGTCCATTAAGTAAATAGAAGATAAAACATTGGATGTAGAATAGACTTAGTCTCCTG